GTACTGGTGCAGGGTGACGTCATCGACCGCATCGAGCAGCAGGTGCTGCACTCGGGGGCGCACCTGGAAAAGGGGCGGGGCCACCTCCAGGGGGCGGGGCGGCGGCAGAAGGCGGCCCGGAAGGTAACTGGGATTGAACTGGTTTATACTGGGAGGGACTGGTTTGTACTGGGAGGGACTGGTTTTTACTGGGAAGGGTCACTGGGCAAACTGGGAGGGAACTGGGACATACTGGTTTATACTGGGAGGGGTTAAAGGGGCACGGGGAGTTACTGGTTTGTACTGGGCCTCACTGGGAGCAGGCCCCAACTCCCAGACCAGGCCCAGCCTGCTCCAAACCGCTTTAAACCGCTCCAAACCGGTTTATACTGGTCCGGACTGGTTTGTGCCGCCCCAAAGTGGTTCGTACCAGGTTTATACTGGTTTGTACTGGTCCGCAGAAGCGCCTGGCCCTCGCCGCCTGCGCCTCGGTCGCCATCTTGGTCCTGGTCGCCATTGTTGCCGCTTCAGTGGCGTCCGGGTAGCTCCGAGCCCTCCCATTGGCTGCGGGAGCTGCCAATCGACGCAAACCCCACCCTCCGCCGCCTCCGATTGGCTGGGAGTGACATCAAGGCGCCGGGAGGCGAAGCCCGACCCGCTCGGCGGTGATTGGGCGGTGCGGGTGTCAGTCAAGCGTAGCGCGGGTTTTATTGGTTGGTGGTGATGTAATGGTGGTGGCGGGGAGGACTCGGCCCCGCGGCGGTTTCTATTGGCTGGTGGTGACGTCACCGGCGAGGAAAGCACTTTTTAGCCCAAAAATGGCCCAAAAAAGGCAAAAAAGGCCAAAAAACCCCAAAAAAATAATAAAAAAAAAATTAAAAACTAAAATGAGGTGAGAATTGTGTCACAAGACCCCAAAATCCACGAAAAATCGCTCGGGTTTCAGCTACAAAAAGCTAAACTTCAGAAAAACCAAGCCCAAAAAATGGAAAAGTGATGAAATGGACCCAAAATTTTGGGGTTTTTTCGCAGTTTTCACCCCTCGAGTTCAGTTGTGCCCAAAAGTCCCAAATATGGGAAGATTTGCACAAATGCTGGAGCCCAAAGGGTCTGGAATTCATTGAATTGTCCCAAAATGCCCCAAAAATGCAAAAAAAAATCATCTCAGAAATCTCGAAATCCCTGAAAATTAAATAAAATCCTCAAAAATCTCCCTAAA